CACCCCTAGCTGCCACTGCAATTTATTGGCCTAAAATACAATGTTTCGCTCCAAAGTATGCAAAGTATGATCTGTGTTTTGATTTAGTGTGCTGATCTTAAAGGTGCATTGAAAAATGTTGATAATCCGACTGATGCTCCTACTGTTGTGGAGTGACTCATGCAGCCAGCTAAGGCTGCAGAGTTTGGTAGTACATGTTGTTTACGTCGTTTATTGTGAAAATTCGGTCAGTTCCTATGACCACTGTTTCATTGCTTTTATGGCTTTATTTTCGTGATTTTCGAAAAGTTATTTGGTTTGGCCATGTTTGTTTGTTGTAGTACAGAGTTAGACTGATGGCCTTAGTCTAAGTTGTCTTGTGGTTGTTGTTGTTTGACTTGCATCCCACTGGGATATTTGCACAGGGTTGGTGTACGGTGCTTTTTCTGCAATATTTTGCTGTCTTTTCTTGGATTTTCTGTTTGCACATAGTCACTTTAAGATGTTTTCTTGTTCATGTTTTTTTGTTTGTTGCGGTTGCACCCGATTCAAGAGCCGAATGGCTCACAGGGCTATACCTAATAAATGAACTTTGAACAACACTAGGCACGGGCTTTGTTCTTGACCTTGAAGCGCGTCACTTCCCTTGAATGTCCCCTCTCCTCATGCTCTCCCCTTTTATCTTTCTCGAGCCTCCTTTCTCGAACTTTCCCTCACCGTTTTTACCGCAGCCAAACCCCGTCCTCCAACGGTTCCCAACCGTCACTTCCGGGTCCCACTCTGTTTCCCGTGTTTTCCCGCTTAAATCTTTCCTCCAATCTTTTCAAGCCCTGCCTCCCGACCGATAATCGAGGAGGCCTCTGTCTGCCAATAGGAGGCCTTGGCCTACTTTTTGAAGGACAGTTTGGCTGCACGTTTGCTTGGGGTGAGTGCTTCTTCATTTCAGTCATTACAAATGTGTAATGTAGGACTCCGGAGATAATAACTGTAGAGGTACTTTCTTTATTAATTACTCGTACATCACACTATTTCAAGTCACTAGCACATAACACAACGCTGATCGTCTAGCACGACGGCGCTAACTGCCTAGATAGCTGGCTGACTATCCAGCAGCAGCGACATCGAGCGATGACAAGGACGACAGCGACAATGGCGACGGCGAAGAGGACTTCCACGACGAGACGATCCCGATTCCCACAAACAGCTCCGACTCACACCCCCTTTTATCCTTCCAGCATGACCCGTCTCCGCCCTGGCCACGCCCCCTCTCTGGAACTCTCTAGCAGGTTCTCGGAGCTTCCAGATAGATCCCCTCAATGACCCTCACTCCAGTTCCTCCCCTCTGCCGACGTTCCCGTGTATACTGTCTGCGCCTTATATGTGTAGTGGCATGGTTGGTCACGATCGCCACTACTCATAGTCGGCAGTACTAGCCGCCTCCTCGCTCGCTGTGGATAGCGAGTGAGGAGGCGACCCGAGTGGCGAATGTGTGAGGAAATTAGTGTGTGAGGGAGTGTGGAAGGAAATTAGTGTATGTGAGGGGTTAGGGGGTGAGTGTGTGAGGGAATGAGTGAGTGTGTGGGGAAGTGTGTGAGAGAATGAGTGTGTGAGGGTTTAGGGGGTGACAATGGTCGTGGTGGAGTCCCAGCACTGCGGCCTGGTGTCTCGGGGAGCCTCAGTCTCGCCTGGCTCGGCGGCAGGGTTCGGCTCGCCCTGGTCCGGCCGGAGCTCGAGCTCCGAGGCCGCTTCGGTCTCGGAGGATGAGGGATGAGGCGCAGGGCGTGCGTGCGGCCTCGGCGGCCCCGCAAGAGACAGCGGCTCCCGCATCTCTCTGCCGAGGAGAAGCTTCTGTGACGACGCAGCCTCTTGGCCGTGATGGCGTGCGGTGGGCGAGAGGCGCGAGCCGAGGGAGCCGACAGATCCGAGGGAGCCGAGGGAGCCGAGGGGAGGAGGCCGTGATGGCATGGAGGAGGCCGTGATACACTCACTCATCTTACACTGACTCACTCACACATCATACACTGACTCACTCGCACATCATACGCTGACTCACACTACCACTGACTCACACATCATACACTGGGAGTGTCATGCTGCCAGCTATGGCTGCAAAGTTTGGTCGTACATGTTATATATCTCGTTTATTGTTAAATTTAAATCACAGTTCTTATGATTACTGTTGTTACATTGTTTTTATTGCGTTATTTTGGTGATTTCGAAAACATATGGGGAATCTAAATTGTATTATGGTTGTTATTGTTTGACTTGCATCACACTGGGATTTTTGCACACAGCGTTTTTTTTTGGCGTATCCAGGATGTTTCTGTTGCGCGTCGTCGCTTTAAGATGTTCTCCATTCATATTTTGTTTGTTGCGGTTGCACCTGACTTAAGAGCCGCATGGCTCACAGGACTATACCAAATAAATGAAACTTGAAACTAGAGAGCAGAAGGGAGACCAGACCTGCTCAAGAGTAATGATGGCTAGTTGGCCCTAGGAGGTGCAGTTGCATGGGGGGAGCACCGGGGCCAACGGTTGGGACCCCAGGCCCCCAGAAGGGGATTGGGGGATGAGGTCATTCTCCAGGGCATTCGAGAAGGTTCCGGAAGGGAGGCGAGGCCAGGGGCGGAGTGAGCCGGGACCCTGTATATAAGCCAGGGCCCTGAACGGCTCAGCTCAGTATCGTCCGGCTGAAGACTGAAGATCAACCTTTAGCCTTGTAGGCAAAGTCGAACCCCTGGCTAGGGTGAGGCATGAGATGTACCAGTGAAGCTCCGAGCTTATAACCAGTGAAGACTTCAGAGAAGACTCAAGCCCCCGGCAGTTTAGCCGAAAGAGGCGAGCTAGCCAACTACGTAGCACATCAGGTGGAAGGGGCCGTTACCCCCTTTCTATTGTAGTTTGACAAGTTGTAATAAACGTGTTGCCTCAAGCAAGCTTCCTTCAGTTTATTACCTACTACATATGCAACTGTTGGTACACCCGCAGTTGCCACTTGTGGCCGCCAGTTAGCGCTGCAACACTACAAATGTACCTCGCCGTCGACTCGATTTCCGATCCCCCTTCGGGGTTCGTGTTGGCACCATTCTAGAATAACACCCAGATCCCGAAAAACGCAGCAAAAGCTGCTGTTGCTGATGAACAGAGTGGAACGCGTAACGTACAGAATAAACACCTCATTCGAGACCCAAACATCATCGCACTCTCCTCCTGGCTTTGACATTCCTCCTTGAAGACACTGGTGCTATTACCATGAAACCGCATCAGAACATCTACAGGCCGATGCACACATCTCCTTCATGAATGGAAAATTAAAGACGAGCCGCACTACCGTGCGGTTGTGACCATACTCTTTGGTTTTTTCGGTGATCAACCCAAACTATGGACCACGCAGTAAACCAGTGGTCTAGACACATTCCTTCAATGTGTAGAGGAGTAATATTGGGACGTGACGCCATGCGCGCTAGGCGGGGTGATGACGTCATGTCGCCTCGAGGTACTTAAGGGGGACCCCGTAACGAGAGCGGGGTCACTGTGGGAGCCCGGAAAGGTGAACGGGTGAAGAGCCAAGCCAGGGCTCGAGGAGTCTGGAGAGAGAAGCCGGCGGTAGTCATGGGAGGTGCTACTCTCCCCGGTCGGTCGGTGTTGGCTGATCCCCCGATCCGACTCGAGGGAGAGAGACCGGAGCTAGCCGAGCTAAGGAAGAGACCGAGTGAAGGTTCGTGTGAAGGACCCCTACCCCTGGGGAAGTTGTCTAAACCCTTAATAAATAACCGGCGCAAGCCCTTAAACGAAGATCTGCCTCCGAATCATCACTTAGACCTCAACAAATCGAGTAGAAAGAGCAATACAACACAAACTCTCTCCCCTGAAGCCCTCCCGTGGCTCGCGGCAGATCTCAACATTGGCATTTACCTTCTGAACATATTGCCATCATATACGCAAGAATAGACTCGCAGTATTCGTTCAAGCAAGCCTGACTGCCGACGAGACGGCAAATGCCAATACCGATCCAGCGTTTTGTTAGTGTTGAACCAACGCTGCTGAAATGGTGTGAATCCCAGAAGGTCGTGTGGCTGATGATTGTAAGAACACATGCTGTGCTCGTCTGTTATTTGGAGGGGCAGACGCCTGAAGAGGGGCGTATATCATCGGAGTGGAAGCTGCTTGTGATAAAAAAAATTTATCCAATTGGACTGGATAGCCAACATCGTACTGAACTAAAAAAAAATGTTTTACCAAGGCCCACAGGACTATACAGTTCTTTTTTTAGAAGCGACCTGGCCACAAATAACTAAAAATAAGTATAACCCGTAAAAACAACGTTTTTCACTATAAATCCTTTATATGCGTGGCAGCGAACTTAATATAAAGGATTTAAAAATACATTCGCCTGTGGAGGACGCGGGGATCGATCCCGCGACCTTTGGCATGGGAAGCGAGGGCGCTACCAACTGCGCTACTCCGCCACGGCCTGTGGAGGGGTTACGCTCTGGGCTCTTATACTGTGACGTTCAGCCAAAGCGATGAATGAGTTATATTTGAATATATGTAAAATAATTTTTTTTTGCCTAAAAAGTGTAAAATTTTGGGAATTTTTTTTCACGAACATTAATTGTCTGGCACAACGAGTCTGTGTGGAAAATGTCAGCTCGATTGGATCACGGGAAGTGGGTTAAAAACCGACCAAAAGATGTGCACGGTCGTAAGCAAGCACGCAAGAAAGCAAGCATACGAACTTAATATAAAGGATTTAAAAAGTGGATTATCACGTGAAAATTTATAGCAGCCAAATTACTCTAATTGCGTGAAATCAATTCTAAATGTGGAGGCAAAACAAAAAAAACCCCACACGACCCACGGGAAAAGGGAGACCCTCAAACTCCAAGTATACAGAAGCAGGCGTCAGGGTCGGGATCGAACCCCCGACCTCCTGTGTACCAGGCGAGGGAGTCAACATCTCCCGGCCACCGTGTCGCTCTCTCCCGTCGTGATACTGAAGCTGTTACACAAACATTCACAACGGTTTCACACATTTATCTATCCACCGAGGCGTATTTTGTGATTGTATTTCGGGTACGTGTATCTTTGAGGTGGGTGTCCAGTGTAATGCGGGGAGCAGCTGAAGTTTAGGAGGAGGGGGAGGGCGCTTCGCGTCTCTCACGGCCACGCGGCAGCAGCAGCCCGCATCGCGCCGCCCCATTCACGTTCCGGGCGTCGCCCTCGCGACCTCTCCCGGCGGCGGCTTCGCAGTGAGCGCGCTCCCATTGTGTCTGGGGGACTCCTCCTAGGTCGACTCGGCCTTCAACGAGCACTTGGTGCGGTGTGTGTAGTAAACGTCAGCACTAGGGAAACAAAGGTGGCCTCGTGCGCGGTCCTGACCTCCAAGGCCTCCCGTGTGCCCTGCCGCTCTTCGTAAGTGTTGGCGAACAGTTTTTGTCCCAAACGTGTCTCTTTAAAGGCGACACGGAGGGGTGCCTCTTGTATGTACAGTAGATACTGTATGTGCGAGTAAGACGGCACAGAGGGGAGCAGTCAACCCAGAACGCCACAGGGCCGTGACCTCCCGGCAGCGCGCTTTCCACACTTCACGTGACGGTCTCAACGTGCACCGAGCCTGGCACAAGCGCCGTGGTAACGCCACTGCCACTTGGTGGCTGTTGTCTGTGTGGGTGACAGCTCTACGGTGCTGCTGCTGAGCGCGGAGGCGTCAGCCAGGTTCGTCTCGACGGCGACGCTCCACGCGGCCTCCACCCGGTCCCCACGAGGTCTCCACGCGGCCTCCACGCGGCCTCGGGCCTCGGCGCGACTGGCGGCGCGAGCGAGAGGAGCCGCGCTCCGCCCGTGGCGCCGTGAGTGGAAGCTGCGTCCCGCGTGGAGGGCCCCGTGCCCCGTGGCCCGTGCCCCGGGCCCCGGGCCCCGTGCCCCGGGCCCCGGGCTCCGTGCCCCGGGCCCCGTGGCCCGTGCCCCGGGCTCCGTGCCCCGGGCCCCGTGCCCCGGGCCACGGGGCGCTGGGCACGGGGCGACTGCGCAAGCCTCAGGCGGCGCTGCGTCGGCTGAGATGTCGTCCCAACGCTCCATCCCATACGGGGTTTACGCAGAGGGGACATTGCGTACATTCCGCGAGAACGTACACGACTAAGTAGTCGTTTACACAAATTAACATATTACTTGAAAACATAAACATGGAGGCAGATTCACAAATGCACTGGGAAGCGGTGAGCAGTGGAATCACTGTAAATATTCACAACACGGTAATCACACTGTCCTGTATGGTGTTTACCTGTTAATATATCTACGTTTATTTTGCTGCTCACTTGTAAATCTCTTTGCTCCATTGAGTTCAAATCCTGGCTGGGGGTGACTCAGCCCATCGTCACCACTTCCTGAGGAAGTTGTCCTGTCGATAGACTCGCCCCCACCACTGGAACCTGGCATTTCCACCACTGGAACCTGGCATTTCCACCACTGGTTCTGGCGCCGTTAACGGGAGATGAGCACCACTCCCTCCCACGCTCGTGAGAGAAGGATCTCGTTTTAACCCCCCCTCCCCCCAGTGTGTGAGAGTAACGCGCTGAACTCGCTTTGACCTCCGAATGAAGTTCCCTGTGAGAGTAACGCGCTTGGCACTGTGCGTGCAGGATGATGATGCGGCGGCGGCGCGTGATGGAGGTGATGTTTGTGATGGTGCTGGGTGTTGCGAGTGGCACCTACATCTACCGCCCGCTGCTCTTGGAGCAGGCTGCCCTGCAACGCACCAAGCAAGCCGCCGCCGCCGCCGGCGAGGAGCCTGGCACCAAAGTGGAGCGGGCGGCGCGCGAGCTGCCAGGCAAACTTCCCGAGCAGCCAAATGCGGCCGCGGCGAGCAACGCCGATGATTGATGCTGGCGCTGCAGAGGCGAGATGTTGACTACCTCGCCTGGTTTACATGCGGTTGTGGGCTTGATCCAGACCCTGACGCCTGCTGTGTATTCGGCGTTTGCGTGCATCTCTCGCCGTGGTCACGTGGATTTTTCTCAGGGTCCTTCGTTTTTTCCCTCCACATTTAGATTCAACGTTTCGAGTATTTGGCTGTTATAAATTTCCACTTGATAAGCCACTTTTTTGAGCTATCATTTGTGGCCAGGTCACTTCTAAAAATTAACTAAATAGCTCAGTGGGCCTTACCTGCTAAGATAAAACATAGTTTAAAGAGTTTGTGATTAGCCTCACAGCGACTTTGCCGCTTGGTTTGACCTATGCACGAGTGACGCAGTCGACGCTTTGACAGATAATTGACGTACATCGTCTTGGAGCCGGTACTGTGACGTGTGTTAGAGGTGTTATTTTAGTCAAAATGTAATAACCGGGAAAAAAAAATCTGTAATCACATGTTTATTTGTTATATGTGCTGGGGTTATTGTCATATTTCCAACAATTAAAAATGTAAAAAAATGTAATGTTTTACCTGTTTTTTAATATATTCACATCAACCTTGTAAGTGACCTAAGTCCGTAATTAACGTTTTTGCATTCCAACCTATTTTCAAATAGATAATTGTGTACCTCGGATCTTATTTAACAACATATTTTGCACTGCAAACTTCCTGAACACTTGAGTCGATTGCCTCCTCCACACTCGAATATTGCTACTCCAATCGTTACTCTTTATCAGTAAACGTCACTCATTGATTTCTTCACCGTTGTTGACGACTTGCCTTACCAGACTGCTTCCACACCGCAGGTCACAACAACACACCCACTTATCCACACACTTCCTTTTAGCATGGTTGGCTACGTACGGTGCAAAAGAACTTCAACATACATTCCTCCCACGCTCTCCACCTGCACGTAATGTTTCTGCTTCTTCCTTCAGACGATAGAATTCCCTCATTCTTTTTTTCCCAAGCTCATGTAATCTTGTTCAAGTCTCCCAACTTCAGGCAGCTCCGGGTAGCCTCCTGCAATGATTCCCGCCCAAATAATGGATGCTAGTGGCCACTTGGGTCAGAGATAAGAGGCAGAAACTAGCATCAGCTCCCAGATGCCGAATCACTCTTCGTCATCACCCCTCTTGAAGAGCTCTCGCAAAGCCGCAGCGACAGCAACAACGGTAGACAACCCCAACATTCAGAGCCAGCTGAGAATGAATATGAGCGCTGCCATTAGAAAAATTAAAAATGCCAGGGCAGTCGCAAGCTTCGAGGCCGTGTCACATCGTGGGATGATTTGCAGCTCGGGGGGTGTGCGAGGGTCTGATGGATGAGGAGACCAAAATCCTTTTCTCTCAATAAAAAGCATGAACAATAGGAATCGAGAACATCACGAGACAACAACACGCTCACACTTAGGATTCCACTAGTCTTAAAAGTCTTAAAAAGTCTTAAAGTCACTTTATTGTCAAGTGGGTTACATGCATGACATACAACACAGATGAAATTACAGTCCTCTCTCTTGGTCCCACGGTGCAACCAAGCAATAAAAAAATTAATCACAATTAACAGACATTAATAAACAATAAACAATCGGCGATCAACACAAGATAAATAATCAAAAATGTAATAAACTTAAAATAAACAACAGTCAAGAATTTTTAAAATGTAAAATATTATTTAAATAAAGTATTTAAAGAAATAAGATATTTAAACCAGTGTGGGAGTGCGATGTAGTGCAATGTGCAGTCCAGAGATCAGGATGTACGAGTGAATGTGTGTGTGGGGGATGGGGTCAGGGGGCAAAGGGGGGTGGGTGGGCAGAGGGGGGGAGTGATGGTAGAGCAGGGAGGGAGTTGAGTCTCCTGACAGCCTGGTGAAAGAAACTGTCTTTGAGCCTGCTGGTCCTGGCTGGAAGACTCCGCAGTCTCCTCCCTGACGGCAGCAGGCTGAAGAGGCTGTGAGATGGGTGGGTGGGATCACCTGCAATCTTGATTGCTTTGCTGGTGATGCGGGTGTTATAAATGTCCAGAAGAGGGGGGAGAGAGACACCAATGATCCTCTCAGCTGCTCTCACTATGCGCTGCAGAGTCTTGCGGCAGGACACGGTGCAGGTGCCGTACCACACGGTGATGCAGCTCGTCAAGATGCTCTCAACGGTGCCTCTGTAGAAGGTGTGCTTCTCTACCGCTAGCCTTTCTCCCCTCGCCTCTCCTACCTCGCCCTTGCCTCCAGTGGGGGTTAAGCCATCACCACTGGAGAGGGCGAGGTGTGGAGAGCGGGGCCTGGGGCTTCTCTTGTCTTTCCTCATCTGCACTCCGACCAACTCAACTCCCTGTCTCTCACGCTCCCGTATATATCGCCGTCCTTATTAACTCATTAATTAAGTTGGCGACCTCCCATCGCCTCACACCCGTGGCTATCGCCTCAATCTCCTGTCAACATGGCGCCTGTTCCGTTCCATGCATTTGCAGCCAGCCAATCACCGCTATGCATCTTCATTAGCCGTCTCCTTTCCATTGCTCTCTCTCGCCGCACCTGTTCCTCCCAGATCCGACCTCACTGCCCGTAACTCGCACATGCGTGCATACCGCTTGCAAACCCCCGTGCGCGCTACTCCACTACACTACTATAGAGTCAGCAGATACTACTATACAGTTAGTCGTTACTACTATAGAGTCGGTAGATACTGCTTTAGGGCCAGTAGATACTACTATGGTCAGTAGTTACTACAGTCAGTAAATACTACTATCCAGTCAGTAGCTATCTCCTGAGCCAGTAGCAACTGGCTCAGGAGATACTAGTCATACCTCGGTATATGACCGCTTTGGATTACGTCGAATTTGGTATACGTCGTGTTTTGACGAGAAAAAAATGTCTTGGGATACAACCTCTTGCTTGGGATACGATGCGCTTGCTAGAACTTGTATGGGTCGGGATGAGTCACCGCGTACCCGCGTAGACCCCATTCATGACTCCTCCCCTTCCTCACCACCATCCTCGTCGGCTATGAACTCCTCTCAGCAAGGTAAAGTGATGTTACATTTTATTTTTATTGAAATTTATTTTATATTTATGCATTTATTTTATGTATGCATTTTAGTAATAAGTAGTGTCTAAAATATTTTATACAACCCCATTAATGTATATGCCATATAAAATATAATTTCTTATACTCTGGAAAGGATTATTTCCTTACCCTTTATTTCTTACTAGCGGGAAGTACCCGGCGTTGCCCGGATGAAAAATAAATTTCAAGACCTCTTAAAAACCTTACACATACATTTCTCCACCAACAAAATTATAAGAGGCTTGCACAAGTCCAAAAAATTATAGAAAGTGTGGGGTAAATAGTTGATGTAAAAGGTTTCCGAAAATTGTGGACCCCCCCCCCCCTCAAAAAATATATTTACCCCCGCGTAGGTATATATACCTACACACCTTACATACAACAGAGGAAGTTGTATCTATTGACTCTGTAGTAGTATCTACTGACTGTACAGTAGTGTAATAAGAGCCTATGTCGGGCTCACGTGGTGATCGGCTCTGCCGGTCCCGCTTTACAGCCAATGGGGGGAGAGCCTGGGAGCATGGCCCTGGCGTGATCACGGGATGTCAGCTAGGTGATTGGTTCTGCTGGTCTTGGCCTCAGCCAATGGGAAGACAAGTCAGGGGCATGGTCCCGGGAGTTGATGGGGAATCTGGAACATTCGGCGCAGGCTATTGAGGATTGGCTGGAGTGTACCACGTGACCCAGGCGTTAAATAAGGAGAGAGAGGAGAGACACGTGGTCAGACACGGAACGAAGAGAGAGAGGGGCCACGCGCGAGTGGGGCTCCGGGTGCCACGTGGCGGTGGGTCTCTGATGGGCTCTCTGCCCACTTCCCGTTGCCTGCCAGCAACGGGGAATGTTTGTGAACTGCAGAAGTGAAATAAAAGGACCGATTCCACAAGCCGTCTCCAAGAGGTTTATTACAGTAGTATCTACTGAGTCAGTAGTAGCCACTGACTGTGTAGTAGTATTTACTGACTGTAGTAACTACTGACCGTAGTAGTATTGACTGGGCCTACAGTAGTATCTACCAACTCTATAGTAGTAACGACTAACTGTATAGTAGTATCTGCTGACTTTAGTAGCTACTCACCGTAGTAGTATGTACTGACTGTATAGTAGTATATACTGACTGTAGCAGTATTAACTGACTGTCGTGGTATACACTGTTTTAGTATCTACTAACTCAATAAAGCATGATCTACCAACTCGATAGCAGTATCTACTATCACTACAGCAGTGCATACTGACTGAGGTGGTACCTGCTATCACTACAGCAGTGCATACTGAGTGGTGGCACCTGCTATGACTACAGCAGTGCATACTAACTTTGGTGGTACCTGCTATGATTACAGTAGTGCATACTGACTGGTGGTACCTGCTATGATTACAGCAGTGCATACTGACTGTACTCACCACTCACCAACCACTCACCACTCACCCCTCATGCTCACCACTCACCCTCACCCTCATCACTCACCCCACCCTTACTACTCACCACTCACCCTCACCACTCATTCTCACCAATCACCACTCACCACACATCCTCACCACTCACGCTAACCACTCACCCTCACCATTCACCACTAACCCTCACCACTCACCGAGGATGAGGGAGAGTGGTGAGTGGTGAGGGTGAACGGTGAGAGTGAGTGCTGATCAGTGAGTGGTGAGAGTGAGTGGTGAGGGTGAGTGGTGAGGGCGAGTGGTGAGTGGTGAGGGTGATGATGAGTGGTGAGTGTGATGATGAGTGGTGAGTGTGAGTGGTGAGGGTGAGCGGTGAGGGAGAATGGTGAGTGGTGAGGGTGAGTGGTGAGGGTGAGTGGTGAGGTTGAGTGGTGAGCGTGAGTGGTTAGTGTGAGTGGTGAGGGGTGAGCGTGAGTGGTGAGGGTGAGGGAGAGTGGTGAGTGTTTAGGGTGAGTGGTGAGAGTGAGTGTGCGTGGTGAGTGGTGAGCAGTGAGTGGTGAGTGGTGAGCGATGAGTGGTGAGAGTGAGTGGTGAGCAGTGAGTGGTGAGTTCTGAGGGTGAGTGGTGAGTGGTAAGGGCGAGTGGTGAGGGTGAGTGGGGAGGGTGAGTGGTGAGTGTGAATGGTGAGCGGTGAGTGGTGAGGGTGAGTGGTGACGGTGAGTGGTGAGTGGTGAGCGGTGAATGGTGAGTGGTGAGGGGTGAGTGGTGAGGGTGAGTGGTGAGTGAGTGATGAAGGTGAGTGGTGAGTGGTGAGGGTGAGTGGATGAGGGTGAGTGGTGGTGGTGAGTGGGGAGGATGAGTGGTGAGAGGTGAGTGGTGAGTGTGAGTGGTGAGGGTGAGTGGTGAGGGCGAGTGGTGAGGGTGATGATGAGTGGTGAGTGTGAGTGGTGACTGGTGAGGGTGAGCGGTGAGGGTGAGTGGTGAGCGTGAGTGGTGTGGGTGAGGGAGAATGGTGAGGGGTGAGTGGTGAGTGTGAGTGGTGAGCGTGAGTGGTGAGGGAGAATGGTGAGTGGTGAGTGGTGAGGGTGAGTGGTGAGCATGAGTGGTGAGTGTGAGTGGTCAGGGGTGAGCGTGAGTGGTGAGGGTGAGGGAGAGTGGTGAGTGTTGAGGGTGAGTGGTGAGAGTGAGTGTGCGTGGTGAGTGGTGAGCAGTGAGTGGTGGTGGTGATGGTGAGTGGTGAGCGGTGAGTGGTGAGTGGTGAGAGGGAGTGGTGAGCAGTGAGTGGTGAGTTCTGAGGGTGAGTGGTGAGTGGTGAGGGCGAGTGGTGAGGGTGAGTGTGAGTGGTGAGTGGTGAGGGTGAGTGGTGAGTGTGAGTGGTGAGCGGTGAGTGGTGAGGGTGAGTGGTGAGCGTGAGTGGTGAGTGTGAGTGGTGAGGGGTGAGCGTGAGTGGTGAGGGTGAGGGAGAGTGGTGAGTGTTGAGGGTGAGTGGTGAGAGTGAGTGTGCGTGGTGAGTGGTGAGCAGTGAGTGGTGGTGGTGATGGTGAGTGGTGAGTGGTGAAAGTGAGTGGTGAGCAGTGAGTGGTGAGTTCTGAGGGTGAGTGGTGAGTGGTGAGGGTGAGTGGTGAGTGTGAGTGGTGAGCAGTGAGTGGTGAGGGTGAGTGGTGACGGTGAGTGGTGAGCATGAGTGGTGAGCGGTGAATGGTGAGTGGTGAGGGTGAGTGGTGAGTGAGTGAAGGTGAGTGGTAAGTGAGTAGTGAGGGTGAGTGGTGAGGGTGAGTGGATGAGGGTGAGTGGTGGTGGTGAGTGGGGAGGATGAGTGGTGAGAGGTGAGTGGTGAGTGTGAGTGGTGAGGGTGAGTGGTGAGGGCGAGTGGTGAATGGTGAGGGTGATGATGAGTGGTGAGTGTGAGTGGTGACTGGTGAGGGTGAGCAGTGAGGGTGAGTGGTGAGCGTGAGTGGTGTGGGTGAGGGAGAATGGTGAGTGGTGAGGGTGAGTGGTGAGTGTGAGTGGTGAGCGTGAGTGGTGAGGGAGAATGGTGAATGGAGAGGGTGAGTGGTGAGGGTGAGTGGTGAGCGTGAGTGGTGAGTGTGAGTGGTCAGGGGTGAGCGTGAGTGGTGAGGGTGAGGGAGAGTGGTGAGTGTTGATGGTGAGTGGTGAGAGTGAGTGTGCGTGGTGAGTGGTGAGCAGTGAGTGGTGGTGGTGATGGTGAGTGGTGAGCGGTGAGTGGTGAGTGGTGAGAGGGAGTGGTGAGCAGTGAGTGGTGAGTTCTGAGGGTGAGTGGTGAGTGGTGAGGGCGAGTGGTGAGTGGTGAGGGTGAGTGGTGAGTGTGAGTGGTGAGGGGTGAGCGTGAGTGGTGAGGGTGAGGGAGAGTGGTGAGTGTTGAGGGTGAGTGGTGAGAGTCAGTGCATGGTGAGTGGTGAGCAGTGAGTGGTGGTGGTGATGGTGAGTGGTGAGGGGTGAGTGGTGAGGGTGAGTGGTGGTGGTGAGTAGTGAGGGTGAGTGGTGGTGGTGAGTGGTGATTGGTGAGGGGTGAGGGTGAGTGGTGAGGCTGAGTGGTGGTGGTGAGTGGGGAGGGTGAGTGGTGAGGGGTGAGTGTGAGTGGTGAGTGTGAGTGGTGAGGGTGAGGCGTGAGTGGTGAGGGTGAGTGGTGAGTGATGATGAAGGTGAGTGGTAAGTGAGTGGTGAGGGTGAGTGATGAGTGGTGAGCGTGAGTGGTGAGGGTGAGTGGTGAGTGTGAGTGGTGAGTGTGAGTGGTGAGTGTGAGTGGTGACGGTGAGTGGTGATGGTGAGTGTGAGTGGTGAGTAGTGAGCGGTGAGGGTGAGTGGTGTGGGGTGAGTAGTCAGGGGTGAGTGGTGAGTGGTGAGGGTGAGGCGTGAGTGGTGAGGCGTGAGTGGTGAGGGTGAATGGTGAGAGTGGTGAGTGGTGAGCGGTGAGTGGTGAGGGCGAGTGGTGAGCGTGAGTGGTGAGTGTGAGTGGTGAGGGGTGAGCGTGAGTGGTGAGGGTGAGGGAGAGTGGTGAGTGTTGAGGGTGAGTGGTGAGAGTGAGTGTGCATGGTGAGTGGTGAGCAGTGAGTGGTGGTGGTGATGGTGAGCGGTGAGTGGTGAGTTCTGAGGGTGAGTGGTGCGTGGTGAGGGCGAGTGGTGAGGGTGAGTGGTGAGGGTGAGTGGTGAGTGTGAGTGGTGAGCGGTGAGTGGTGAGGGTGAGTGGTGACGGTGAGTGGTGAGTGGTGAGCGTGAGTGGGGAGCGGTGAATGGTGAGTGGTGAGGGGTGAGTGGTGAGGGTGAGTGGTGGTGGTGAGTGGTGAGGGTGAGTGATGAGGCTGAGTGGTGGTGGTGAGTGGGGAGGGTGAGTGGTGAGGGGTGAGTGTGAGTGGTGAGTGTGAGTGGTGAGGGTGAGGCGTGAGTGGTGAGGGTGAGTGGTGAGTGATGATGAAGGTGAGTGGTAAGTGAGTGGTGAGTGTGAGTGGTGAGGGTGAGTGGTGAGTGAGTAGTGAGGGTGAGTGGTGAGTGAGTGGTGAGGGTGAGTGGTGAGGGTGAGTGATGAGCGGTGAGCGGTGAGGGGTGAGTGGTGAGTGGTGAGCGTGAGTGGTGATGGTGAGTGGTGAGGGTGAATGGTGAGCGTGAGTGGTGAGGGTGAGTGTGAGTGGTGAGTGTGAGTGGTTACGGTGAGTGGTGATGGTGAGTGTGAGTGGTGAGTAGTGAGCGGTGAGGGTGAGTGGTGTGGGGTGAGTAGTCAGGGGTGAGTGGTGAGGGTGAGGTGAGGCGTGAATGGTGAGGCGTGAGTGGTGAGGGTGAATGGTGAGAGTGGTGAGTGGTGAGCAGTGAGTGGTGAGGGCGAGTGGTGAGCGTGAGTGGTGAGTGTGAGTGGTGAGGGGTGAGCGTGAGTGGTGAGGGTGAGGGAGAGTGGTGAGTGTTGAGGGTGAGTGGTGAGAGTCAGTGTGCATGGTGAGCAGTGAGTGGTGGTGGTGATGGTGAGTGGTGAGGGGTGAGTGGTGAGGGTGAGTAGTGGTGGTGAGTGGTGAGGGTGAGTGGTGGTGGTGAGTGGTGATTGGTGAGGGGTGAGGGTGAGTGGTGAGGCTGAGTGGTGGTGGTGAGTGGGGAGGGTGAGTGGTGAGGGGTGAGTGTGAGTGGTGAGTGTGAGTGGTGAGGGTGAGGCGTGAGTGGTGAGGGTGAGTGGTGAGTGATGATGAAGGTGAGTGGTAAGTGAGTGGTGAGAGTGAGTGATGAGTGGTGAGCGTGAGTGGTGAGGGTGAGTGTGAGTGGTGAGGGTGAGTGGTGAGTGTGAGTGGTGAGGGGTGAGCGTGAGTGGTGAGGGTGAGGGAGAGTGGTGAGTGTTGAGGGTGAGTGGTGAGAGTCAGTGCATGGTGAGTGGTGAGCAGTGAGTGGTGGTGGTGATGGTGAGTGGTGAGGGGTGAGTGGTGAGGGTGAGTGGTGGTGGTGAGTAGTGAGGGTGAGTGGTGGTGGTGAGTGGTGATTGGTGAGGGGTGAGGGTGAGTGGTGAGGCTGAGTGGTGGTGGTGAGTGGGGAGGGTGAGTGGTGAGGGGTGAGTGTGAGTGGTGAGTGTGAGTGTGGGGA